ATCATATAAATTTTTTGTAATTTAGAACGACACTCGACATGGCAAAGAAGAAAAAAATCTTTTTTCAGAAGATAGAAAATGATGCACTTTTTTCAAACCCCTAATAAAAAAAAAACACATTTAAACACCTTTTAAAAACGCTACACAACCTTTTTAATGTAATATATTAATAACAGAAAATTAGTACTAGCAAAAGATTGCAAAATAGTAGTGTAAGCATTGCATACATTGTAATGGAAAATACCACGGTGAAGTATTGATATTATCTGACGATATATCACGATATCAAATACTGGTTAAGACTAGTTTAACCCTTTGCTCACGGTGCACCATCACATGTGGTTCATATGTTATACCATCACATGTGGTCCATATGTTGTACCAGCCGCAAGCAAAAGGTTAATTTTCAATACCTGAAAATCAACTAACATTTAAATATTTCAAAGACATACCAGAGGGAACATAAAAAAAAAAGAAACTATCAATAAAAGAAGGGTTCAGCCTAATTGTAGGGGGTGGGGGAGGTCACTTTAATTTAGAAAAAAAAAAGCACAGGTAGAAATCAAGCACCCTGACCCGAATGGGGAAAGTTGTAGAGATACGCATAAAAGGTTAAAACCAAATCGTGACCAACCACTTTTTATGAAAAGAATATACAGTTGGAATAAGCAGGGGGGAAATGTACACTTTCATCCAAAGTGCGGAGAACAAGCTATTAAATAGCAAATCTGGAATTATAGAGCTCCATCCCCTTTCCCCCCCCGGGGTGATCTCCCCATACCATCATGGTGAGATTTTATGAGTCGAGATAACGAATCCAACTCTTCACGAAGCGGGCCATCAGTTCCGCTCGACCAGCCCCTCACCCAATGAGTTAATGACACGACCGGGGCCACCACTGCGCCCCGCCGCCCCTCAGGCGGGAACCCCCCCCTCTCAGAAAGAAAGCAAGGGAGCCGTTAAAAATTGTCTTCTGCTAACAACTTCCTTTGGATCCGCAGAGGATTGGATCAAAGCTAATGAGGATCAAAAGGTGGTGAAGCCGCAAATTGGAGAATGAATAAAAGGGGGGGGGGGTAGAGGGGGGCTATTAGAAGAAAAGGTGTAACTTTTCTTTTACTGCCCCCCATCAACTTTTTTTTTCTTCTGTAAGATCAAAGGCACTGCGCCAACGTGACAGCATGAAACAAAGTAACAATGGTCTTTGTTTGTTTGAGGTTATGCTATCTTTTGAGTTGAATTCCTTTTTTCGAAAAGGGTGTTATTACGTGGACTTTCAAACTTGATTTGGATTAAGACAGCTTGCAAAACAAAATAGCTCGGGAGTGTTAAAAATGCTTAGCGATCGACTTTAATTGCAAGTTAACACAATGTAGTTTGACAGTTTTGGAGATCTTGATTGACACGGTTGAATGGGTAATTTCAAAGTGATCCGAAGCAATGGGTTGATAAAATTATTAAGATTGTTGTAAAAGGAAAGCGGCTCCCACGTTTACAGTACTCATTAGTGTGTCACATGAAGTTCTTGCAAACAAAATAAAAAAAAGTATAGGCATCATAACTTTATCAACGTCTAAAGAGATTTCACGCTAATTTTTTTCCTCTCAAATCTTAACACTAATATTTTTAATGACATAAAGTACTGATTAAATTAAAGACAGACCAATTATTAATAGTCTTCATACTACAAAACTTGTGCCGAAATTTAAATATTCTTATGGTTGTTTCAATACAAATCGCAATGCCATGAAGTTATATTTTTTTTAAACCAATACTTCTAATTTTTATTATGTTTGGTTATTCAAATAATAAGGCTGTTTTTCGAAGGGTCCGTTGTAACATGAAATTTAATTATGCTTCTTAGCGAATAATATGCTATTTTCATAACTGCTGTGAGTTTGCAACAGTTACTCCTCATGACTGTTAGATCAAGTTTAGCCTATCTAAAGCAAGTGCTGTCTATGCTTATTTTGAAAATGGTGCAAAACGTTAATATGGAGAAAAGCCATAATTTAGTGAAAATGAAAAGCGTTTGTGGTCTTATCTTTTAATATTTAAAAAATTAAACCAATGCTGCATTATTGAGGCTCATAAAAAAAGTGCAAAAACTGAGAATAAGGTAAGTGATTTTGATAATTTTCATCTAGATGAGAAAATGTCGCCAGGTTGGCGAATTTTGAAAAAGTTTAATAACTTTTAAAATATTTAAGTTACAAAATATTAAGTCCGTTCAAAACCCCAAATAATTCTTCAAGGCAAAATTATAAAAATAGTTTAAACTTCTCGCATTGCTTCAAGTGTAAGGCACTTAAACTATGGCTTTTTATTTTCCTTGGCGACAAAGCTTCGAAAAACAGCGTAAGCAATGATGTCGTGCAATTCAAATAACAAACAAAGATGAAATTTGCTCTAAACGCTTTTTTTTTTTTTTTTTCAATAGCAAAATAGAATAGACAGTAGTGTCTTTGGGTTGTTAATTGAAACATATTCTAAGTGTACTGTTTAATATTAGGTAAATTTAAAAAAAATAATTACGGTCCCTCTAGAATTATGCTATCAGATTCTGGAATTTTTGTTAACTATACAAGCCTTAATCTACAAACATTAATAAGCTTTAAGCATTTTTTGTCATTAACAATTATTTGATATTAAAAAAAAAAACTTTTTTCTCTTATCTGATTAATATTAATATATTAGATAATATTTATATTAATAATAAAAAAATTTAAACTTAAAAACTTTATGAAGTAACATACAAATAACAATTAAAATTCGGTAAATCCGATCTTGCTTTTTTGTTTTTATTTAAAGCGCAAAATTAAGTATATTAATACAATACATTAGATTACGCAACCTAAAAATTATTCTGAATTGTGAGGGTGAAAAACCCCAGCATGCTCATCTGTCCTAGCATTTATCACGTGGGTTATCATGGGTGAATCAGAAAGAAATATCGCCCTCCAATACCCTTAAGAACTGCCCTTTCCACACAATACTCAAAATCCAGAAGGGCGTGATTGCTTCTGGGGGAACCTCAACGGGGGGCTCTCACCCCTAAATATGATTTTCTAATACTTCTTTGAACATAATACTCTCCCTCCCAAAACGCCACACATTTCAAATCAGAACAGAGGGGGGATAGAAAAAAATCACAAAAGATTTTTAGTTGGCGCTGTGGGATGCACACATCGATTCTTGGCGTACATAATGCTTTTAACATGGTTCAAAACAGGTGGTATGTGAAGTTCTGGGGGTGAAGAGTGGCCAAGTTTCCCTTTTTCTGTTCTATTCCTGAACTAGAAAAATAAAGTGTTTATCATAAGAAAAGAAGAAAAAAAATTGTGTTTTGAAAATTCGCAAAAAGTTTGCACTGCAATCAACACTGTTGCAAACTGCAATACGATCATTGAAAAACATCTTCACGGTGGGCTAATCATCTAGAAGTTTCTGGTGCAATCAAAAACTGTTACCTACTGGATTCTCAATGGATAGGTATCCATTGGGAGGTGGATGTGAGGATTTGATTTCTCAATGGATATATAACCATTGAGAAATCACTTCAATTATGCCTAGTTTTTGCAGTGCTTGCAATATTGTTAAAAACTACAATATACCCATTGAAAAACCATTGCAATACGACCATTGAAAAACAACTTCATTGACGACTAAATTTTGATCTGATTTAAAAATTATCCAGAAGTTTCTGATGAAATCAACAGCTGTTGCCTACTGAAATATATCCCTAGAGAAATTACTTCAACTATGCTTCATTTTTGCAGTGTTTGAACCCCTCCCCCCACTGAATTTACAACTATATTGCTACATACTACAATATACCCAATGAGAAATCATTGCACTAAACGTTCATTTCGGTTGTGATTTGAAAGTTACTACTCATGTCAACGTTACCGTTACGCACAGCAATGTTCTCATTAAAAATCACTTTAATGACGCTTCATTTTTGTTGCCCTTTGAAAATTTCCAAGTTTCGACTGCTCTCAACAGTACTGTTACATACTATTCTCAACTATACTGTTATACCAGTTGCGAAATTACATACTACAATATAACCATTGAAAAACCACTTGAATGACGGCAACATTTTGATGTGATTTAAAACATCTCTAGAAGTTTCAGATCCAATTAACAACTGTTACCTACTGCAATATACCCATTGAGAAATCACTTACATTATGCTTAATTTTTGTTTTGCTTTACAAAATCTCCAAAAAATCTACAACAGTCAACAATATTGCAACATACTACACTATACTCCTCGAGAAATCATGGCAGTAACCGTTAATTTTTGCTGTGATTTGAACATATAATTTTTTTTGCGCTTTGGACATGTCGAAAAAGTTCTTACTGCCATCAACAATATTGTTACATATTGTAATATACCAGTTGAGAGGCGTAGTGGGTTCAGGGGATAGAGCGTTCGCCTTCAAATGAGATGAACCGGGTTCGAATCCCAGCGATAACTGGTCGATACAAATTCCACACCCGGTTCGCACCAACCAGTGCTGACGTAAAATGTCTTCAGTGGTAGACGAATCATGGGTTAGAGTCCCCTTGCCGTCAGGCTAACCATTGGAGGTTTTCCTACCATGTAACGCAAATGCGGGTTAGCTCCATCAAAAAGTCCTGCCCGAAGGTAAATTTCTACCAATACTTGATCTAGGAGTTACCTTTTTTTGGATTGGTTTCAAAATTACAAGGCTACGAAGTTGAACCACAGCAGTCGTAAATCCAAAATTGGGTCGGCTGTTCAACGACGGTTATAAAATATTGCAGTTGAGAAATCATTCTATGAAGACTACCAATCAATATGAATTTAACCGCGACACGCCCATTTTAGAGCTCGAATGTTACAGAATATAACATCGTATCAATAATAGCCCAAATATAGGCTAGAAAACTATACAGGAAACGACGCGGATTGTGAAGAACCTACTGAGAAAGGCTTACACTGAGAAATGTATAGAATTTCAGAGACTTACCTCTGCCGCCAATAGGGCTTTAGCTCTAATGTTCAGCAGCGCAGAGGCCATATCCTAGAACATAACACAAGGGATATTATAGGACTTAGAAAGGGTTTGTAGAAGAACACAGAAAAGGGGAGATCAGTCCCCAAAAGTGAGACAATGTTAAAGAGCATATATGCCCAAGTTCAAACAGAAAATTAATAAAAGGTTAATGATCGATAGCCGATTTTATAAGATGTAATTAAAACTACTAATAATATAAAGTCATAACAGAAGTGTCGAATGACACAACAATCAAGAAGAAAAAGATTCCAAAAAGATATTAGTACCTACTTTCGAGAAACCTGAAACTACTAATAATATAAATACGTTTGTTAGTAACGTATCTACACTCACTGGTTATAGATATTTCATGTAAAATAAATTGCCAGTTTGCTTAAGAATTCAATTTTATTATCGTATTCGTAATTTTAACAAACCACTTTCGGGGAACAGCTTGGTCTTTCTCACGAACTTGATGCTCTATGACTCTTGATCAATCAAAAACAATGTTGTTGTTTTTTAAAATTAATAAATAAGACACAATTAAGATGTAACGTAGCACGAGTACAGCATAAAATTATTTTGTGCCGCAATTGCACATATACCACAGTGTACTGCCATTGTAAACAGTGTACTGTTATTGTAAACAACTGTTTATGTTCTGTTAAATTAAATCCTATTCGTACTAGTATTTTTAACAAACCGCCTTCGGCGACTAACTTCGTCTTTCTCGTGGACTTGATACTCTACGACTCTTCATCAATCAAAAAACAATGGAATTTTTTAAAAAAATAACATGCAATGTGGGATGTGTACAGTATAAAAAATTCCATCAAGACGGGTGTAGCTGTAATTGCCATTGTTAACAATTTCATAAGAATTTACAGTAAAAAAAAAAATTTAAAATTTAACAACAAATTTACTGTTTAGAACAACATACCCCCGATCACCGAAAATCAAGCAAGTATATTGTTAACAATTCTCTCTTATGTTTTGCTAAAACTAATCAATTCTAACACTTTCGTTTATAACCTACATAAGCTTCTAATTACATAATGTCTGGACCAAAAATGTACATTTAGATCCAGTAATTGGAACGAGGTAATTTATATTTAAATAATAACACAACAAAAATTATAAATCCACAACGAATATCTGTGCGCAGTCGGTAAGATCTCAAAATTTGCGGATCTTATTTTAATTTCGGTGACTACCCAACAGAGTAACGATATAAAAGGACGGCAAATCAAAATTACAGTTTCGAGCAACAAATCCCCAACCACGGACAATCAAACAAGGATATGAATCACCACCTCAAGCCCAATGGTTTCAGCGGATAAATTTGGTAAAGATTGTCATTTTCGATGGGAAGCAATGATAGCTAATGGTCGGTTACATTTCTCACTCGAAAAAGCTATTGGCTTCGCCCAAAAACTTTCATCCAGCCCAACTAATAACCACCAAGGTCTGCCCATTGGTCATTAGTGAATACATTTACCCTCATTTAGAAGACAGAGTACAGGTCATCTGGGCAGACACAAAGGCGGACAGAGATAGATAAATGGTGTTCCGCACTATAGCTATTCAACACATCCGTGTCCATCATTTCCACTAATTTTATTTCTTTTTTTTCTTCTCCTAGCCCCTTCTCTACTCGTGATCCCCCCCCCCCCTCNTGCCCCCCCCCCCCTCACAAGTAGATACAGGATTATTGCAGTGCCAGCTTTCATTTGGGCGTACCCAAGAAAAGACAGGCAAGTATTATAGAAGGGGAAAGAAGAAGAAAAAAAAGTCCACCATTGAAAGCAAACTGGGAAAATGGATATTTAATACATCAAATAGTTTCTGCCTTCAATATAGCGATAGAAGGAAACGTAAGGAAGTAATAAATGCCTTAATCATATGCAACCAAGCGAGAACGATCCTCCCTTTATAGCTGCCAAATTTGCAAGTGATGATTTTGCATGGATCATATAATTGAGATTTTGGGAAATTTCAGTTTCAATCCTTAAGTACAGTATTCATTTTTTATTTCGCGAGTGATGATTTTGTATGAATCATAATTGAGATTAGGAGAAAATTTAGTTTCAATCCTTAAGTACGAAAGCATTTGTAAGCGTATTGATTTGTTTTGTTTATTTTATTATTATTATTTTTTTTACATTTATTAATATTTTTATAAAGTTCAGGTTTAGGACCAATTGAAGGATGCGAAGCATATGTCGTTTATACGGTTGCCACGCATATTTGGAAAGAAATTTCCTGTGCTTTCCCTGAACATATTTTATGCACAATACATTAAGCGGAAACTAACATTCAGTGTGCTCTATATTAGGATAACTAAACTTACAGGGTGCGTAGCCAAATCTTTCAACAAAAAATAAGACCTTTTTAAGTACTTTTTAATCACTCAAAAAATATTGCAAACAGTATATACATTAGCAAAATGCAAAATAATTTTCAAAGACTTTACATGATCATGATAAAATAAAAATTTAGTTTTTGCCAAAAAACTCTTTTCATGATTATATAAGCCATTATAAAATGATCAGGAGATTTTTTGCTTCGATATCAGAAGGTGTAAAATGGCGCCTGAAATTGAGAATATCTTGCAAAATGCAGCAGAATTGCACTTGAGTATTTCATCAATTATATAAATTGATTGGCGCTTCCATGCAATATGGACCGACGGTACGCCGAAATAGATTGTGGTTGAGTGAATTGTGAAAACGTTGAATAGAACAATGTGAAAAGCACGCTTTTGCATAATACGTGGCGGATACAACATGGTAAAAAAAAAAGTCTCATTTTTGAACAGAGAAAATTAAGCACTTTTTAAAAACACCCAATGAAAAAAGCACCTTTAAGCACTTTTTAAAAACGATACGCATCATATACTAGTTTTATCTGCTGAAAACTGAATTAAGGTGGCAGATTTCTTTGATGATGGGATTCAAAAGCTAGTGACACGACTAAACAAATGTTTCAATGTGACTAGGTTGAAAAGTGAATAAATGTTCACATTTTAGTTTTTAATACAATTTACGTTCATAAATAAAGTTTATCTTACTCCATTACAAAACGCTTCCTACTTAAAAATTGACCCTCGTAAATGAAATAGTATAGCTGATGAACTATCATCTTTAAATATCCCATAGAATTCGCTTCCCATGGATGCAGTTTGAGAGGTAGGCATTTTTAAAAAACAAAAATAAAATTCTCTGCATTTTCTAGGTTTTCCCTGTTTGGTAGCAACACTATTTAAATAGGGTTAAGTTTCACAAAATTTGCCGTAGTGTATGTATGGATATAGGAAAAATACTTTCATTACCAATGAAACTGTTAACAAAAATAGGCCTGAATATAGTAGAGAGCAGGGACTGATTAAATTTCTGGCAAATAAATTAATAAACAGTGACTTAATCTGGCAAGCATTCTGCTCTTTTTCTTTCCAAGTACAGATATGGATCTCCGAATTTATCTCGTGAATATACGTAAAAATACATTTTCATTTATTTATTTTCACCAACATTTAAAAAAAAAAAAAAAAAAAAAAAAAAAAAAAAAAAAAAAAAAAAAAAAAAANAAAAAAAAAAAAAAAAAAAACTCCGAAGCAGGGTACAGTTTAGTCATGTAATTAGTTTAAGAGAAACTATTGCCAAGTTAGTTAAAAAGTTAAATTAATCAATGAAATACTTAAAATATGACTAAATAAAAAACGAAAACTGATCACAAAGCAAAATAAAAAACGTACAAATTATTTATCTAACATTAATTTTGATTGATTGCAAGCGTTTTCCTATAAACTAACACTTTTAATGGATTTAAGTCTAAAGCAGGTATAATGTCTGAAAAGAAAATTATGCTAAACAAGTCAAGAGAGCGTACAGAATGATAGTATTAAAGGACCTGATCCATAAACACAATCAATATCTAAAAGCCGTCAAAAGAAAAATCGGAAATCGAAACAATGCACAAATTGCTTTTAAGCGTTACCTCTCTGCATTCCGCTTTGAAGAATTGAAAATGCAACAGAATCGTTACAAATCCCCTCTTTTCTCACTAAATTTCCCATTTCAAACTGATTCAAAACGCGCCAGATAAACAAACCGATATAACGACGAACCCATTTCGATATAGCAGAACTTCCTCTTAAGACAGCTTTCTACAGTGAAATGATTTTTCCAACTCCCCCTCCCCCCTCAAACCTTTAATATATAATATCGACAAAGAGAGAAACTAGACTGTAATAAATCAAACCCGATTTTCTCCGTTTGCTGCTGTCCCCCTTCCCCCATTTAGTAAATTCTACCAATCCCCCTTTTCACCTCGACCTCCCCCCCTTACCGCCTCACAACCGGAATCAGAAAGTCAATTGGAAATCAGCATTCTGAACATAAAAGCAGGGAGGCTTTATCAGGGAATTGGAGAAAAGCAATTAATCGCTGCAGCGGTAAAGGAAGATGCGCGACCCGAGGAGAAAAGGAGAAAGATGCGGAGGAGCAAGAGCAATAATCCAGTGGATGCTAAGGAGAAGCGAAAGGAAACTCCTTCGCTATTAGCCATGGTCGGCGACTCTTTATCTCTCCCAGCCTGCTCTCCTAATTACAATTAAACTTTGGTTTCCCTTTGTAATCAGGCAGCGGGCCTCTATTTGCTCCGGGGGAATGGGGAAAGTTAGAGCATCCTCCTCCTCAGCATCCTCTTCTAGGATGCTCAAGAGCAAAGGATGGGGAGAAATGTTGTTTCGGAAAGAGAGAAACGTCGTGAAATGACGATGATGATGGGAAGTGTTTCGAAGCAATCTTAACCCACTTCGGTAAATAAAACACGAGAAAGCTGGTGGTGGGGTGGGGGAGTAAGAACAAATTTCGAAATTCAAAATTGAGGATTTCTATTCCCTTATTGTAAACAATGAAATTACATAATTACACGAAGCTTATAGTTTGGATATTGAATGGAAAGGCGGATAAATGCTTTAAATTGCAACGATAATTAAACTTAAGAGTCATTCGTGTTATCAGCAC